TTTTGCTGTATTCTTGGGAGGTGAGCTGTGCGTCCTTCCACCCTGCCATCTTGGCAATGCCCTCAGAACTCACTTGTGATGGGGAAGTAAATTTCAATCTTTTAAATCCAATGGATTTTGGGATTTTAAAAAAAAGTAGTTCAGTGTATACCTTCACTAACATATTTCCACTTTATCTGCATTTTCACACTTAGTTCAATAAGATTTTCTCTTATTTATATGATCCTATAGTAAGCCATATAGATAAAGCAGAGAAAGTTTAGAAAATGCAGGGGGAAAAATGAAAGAGTCCCATCATGACATACCAACAGGACAATTTCTTCACTGCCCTCTCACTGTGTTTTAGCTCAGATCACCCTCCCCATTTAAAAATCTCCTGTCCCCTTTGCTCCAAGTAGCCACTTGCTTATCATCCCTTTCAAATTCACCCAAATTTATTTCAACATTCCATAAGAGATTATTCCAGGGTTTTCCATTCACAGTGATCCCACCTGATGTTATCTCATTTGGTTACAAAAGGGTTGTACCACACATTTCATCATACACTGTCTTACACTGTTCCTGTCATATAATAAGCAGTTCATAAATGTCTCTTTGAATAATTGAATCCCTGAATAAATCAATTATCCTCTATCATGAAAAGTCATGTCACATAAGTAGAGAAAAGGTATATGAGTCACATAGCTCTGAGTTGAAGTCTTGTTTGGTCATTATCTATATTCAATAACTTGTACAAATCACTTGCCAGTTTTTAGTCAGTTTCCTCCATGATAAAACAGAAACATCATCAGAAGATTTCTAACTTGCATGTCTTTTGTAAAGATTAAATGAAAAGGAACACATATCTGTACACAAGACCTAGCATATATAGGTCATACTTAATGTTTCCAAATTGCTAGAAAGTAATTTTAATTACAACTAAATCATACCATTTAACTCCATTTGTTGAACTCCATTTTGCATTAAAAGCAAAAATATTAAAAATGCAAGATTATATAAAATAAAATTTAACAGTTCTAATGAAAAATCTTTGGGCCACAGATAAGACCCTAGTCTTAGTTTCAACCCTGGCCAGTTTTATGACTTTAGGCAGATAATTTATCCTTTCTAGTCATATCTATGGCACAGTGGTAAAACAAGGGCACAGAATGGGTTTCTTATTTCAGACAAGAGTGAGTAAAAGCATCCAATTTTACTCATCCTACTCATCTAAGAATTCTAATAAAATCCTGTCCTCTGTACCAAAGATCCAGAAAAAGTATGGCCCACCAGGACTAAACCTTTTACTCTTCCTGTTCTGGAGGCAAATAGTATGAAAAAGATGTGACCCTCCTTCAGCTTATTGGGGAGGGGGTGTAGCAGTTGATAATATAGGTGGAAATTTGTCTTCCCTCAAAGTCAGCAACAAAAAGGTAATGCCTCTCCCCTGCTGACTCTGAGCTGTATTGTGAATATCACCTCTGAACTGCAGTAGAGAGACTCCATGGAAGACTCAGGGGGCAAAATTCTGTTTTCCACCACTGTAGAGAAACAAGGAGGTACCCATTCCCCATGGAGAAGTTATGGGTACATTGCTGACTTTCATTCCCCATGCAGCAAGGAGCAGGCTGTCCTACTCAGAGGGGCTCCAGTCTTTTGTCCCCATCCTCATTCTCTCTAGCCTGCACTGATGAGAATATGGGCTGGAGTCCTATAGGGGTGGGTAATGTGTAAGTAAGGTAGACCAGTATAGCACTGCAGAGGCTCTCTAACCTAAATTGATATTTGAACCACAATACACAAGAGTGAGCACTCTGAACATAAGCAGGTTGATTATTTGCTAAAATGAAAATTCACACAAATTCCATAGTCATATAACAAAATACCCAAAATATCCAGACTATAATCTAAAATTACTCATGTTACAAAGAACCCAGGAAATCTCAACTTGAATGAGTTGAAGACAACACTGAGAAGACAGAGATGTTGAGATTATAGGATAAAGATTTTAATGTGGCTATTATAAGTTTGTTTCAATAAACAATTGTACTCTCAAAATTTTTAAAAATAGAAAATTTTAACAAAGAAATAGAAAACATATATAAGAACCAAAGAAAAATTTCAGAAATAAAAAAACAAAATAAGCTAAACAAAAAACTCAATAGAACAACTAAATGGCGAAGTGATGACAGAAGAATCAGTGAAACTGAAGACATCAGTAGAAAGTATCCAATTTGAAAAACTCAGAGAAAATAGACTGCAAAACAAACAAACAAAGCAAACAAATGCTGAGCTTCAGGGACTGATGTAGGAATGAGAAAAGATCTGTAACTTGTGCCTTCAGTACTCAAGGGTACATAAACAAAATTGTAAAAAGGTGGACTTGAAAAAATATTTAAAGAAATAGTAGCTGAAAAATTCTCAAACAGAAATGGTAGCAGAAAAACCTACAGATCTACGAAGCTGTGAGTGAAACCAATAAATTCAAAGAATTCAACACCAAGACGTATCATAATCAAATCTATAAAAGCTAAAAGCAACGAAAACTTCATGAACACATGCAGAGGAAAACAACTAATTTCTCATGGAGAAAACAGTTCAAATTACAGCAGATTTCTCATCAGAAACTAGGGTGGCCAGAAAGAAGTAGCACAATATTTTCAAGATTATAAGAAACTGTCAACCTAGAATTCTATATCCAATGAAAATGTACCCTAGAAATGAAGGTGAAATAAAGACATTTTTGGATAAAGGAAGCTAAGAATTTTTTTGCCAGCAGACCACTTCTAAAAGAATGGCTAAAGAAAGTTTTTCAGTTAAGAAATAAAGAGCAACAGAAAGCACAAATAAATGGGTAAATACACTAGAATATTCTTCTCTTCTTGAATTAAAAAAATGTGTTTGACAGTTAAATGCAAAATTATAATACTGTTTGATATAGACCTCAATATATGTACAGATAATATTTAAGGCAGTTAATGTATTATAAAGCAGGGAAGGTAAAAGGACCTAAGTTTAAGTTATCTATATTCTTCCTGAAGTGGTAAAGTGTTCATTTTTAGTTCAATAAGCTGTGTATGCATAGCATGTAATCTTTACATGAAGCACTTAAAACACATTACAAAGAGATATTCTTTAAAAAGTCTATAGATAAAACAGAATTCTTATAACATGTTCAAGAGACCAACAGGAAGACAGCAAAAAGAAAGAGAGGAATAATATACAAAGTAAAAATATATATAAAATAAAAGTTAAATAGCACAATTAAGTGTTAATGTATCAATAATTACATTAAATATGAATAATCTAAATTTACCAGTTAAAAGACAGGGATTGGCAGAATAAGAAAGAAATGACCCATCTATATTCTATGGATAAGAAACTCATTTTAAATATAACCATATAAGTCAAGGTTAAAAGTGAAAGAATGGAGAAGCATATACTATGGAAATCCTAATCAGAAGAGAGCTGGTGTGTCTATACTATATCAGAGAAGGTGAAGTTCATGCAAAGAAAATTACCAGAGATAAAAGTGGACATTAAATAATAATTAAAGGGCCAATTCACCAAGATAGCACAACAATGTGCATGCACTACATAAAATACATAAAAGAAATGCCAAATACATAAAAGAAAATCTCTAGAATTGAATAAAAACAAAATGAAACTAAGTATATCTGGAGACTTCAACATGCCTCTCCTAGTCACTGAATCAGTAGCTAAGAAGTCAACAAAGGTACTGAAGAACAAAATAACGCAGTTGTCTAATTTTATCTAGTTGACATATAGTATACAACACTCCACCTGACAACAGCAGAAAACATTTTTTCAAGTAGGAATGGTGCTGTATCGTGGGTCATAAAACTGAGCTTTGCATATTAAAATATTGAAATCATAAAAAATACATCCTCTGAAAACAATGGACTCAAACTGGAAATCATTAACAGAAAGAAAACAGGACAATCTCCCAATACTTGGAAATTAAACAGCACATTTCTTAAACAACGGGACAGGTTTAGAAGTATAGCTTTATAATTCTGTGACTGATCCTGACACTTCATAGTGCCAACTGGGTGTCTCCCAGAACGTGATAACACCTTCTCCAATTGAACTTGAGCATACATTATAGTCTCGTGTTTAAATTTCTCCAAGGACTTTCTAGGCAAAGGGGAACTAATATTGTTGGGCATGTACTATTAGCTATATTACTATTGACCATTCACTGTTTTATTTAATGTTCACAACTACCTGTCACAGTGTTGTCTCTCAGCAAAGTACCAGTGCTGAAGGTAGGGAAGCAGCTGAAGAATCCTGGGAAAGTGTGGACGTTGGAGAGAATTACAAGGGATTCAGAGCAGCCACAGTTTCGAAGCCCTGATGGGACTTGATTATAAAGACGTGGAAAGAGGCTACAAGCAGGGTTCCAAGTGGCTCCCTGGGGAGTCTGAACTTGAGGGGCAGCTGAGAAGCAGGGAGAAAATCTAAGCAGAGGCATGACATTTTAAATGATTACTTTAGTGAGTGGATTGCAGAGTGAGAAGGATGAAGGTGAGGGGCTCAGTCCTTGCGGGGATGGGAGTAATTCAGTTGAAAGGTGGTGAGGATTTGGGTAGTAGAATCGCCATTTTACACATGAGAAATGCAGCCTCCAAGAGGGAAAATAGAGCATTTTCCTACCCCCCACACCCCAAGGATAATAATATTAAAAAGACACGGTGATCATATTACAAATAGTATGTACCAAGAGTGTGTAACATGACACACAATTAAATGACTTAAAGAACGTTTTGTCTGGCACACTTACATAGTAAACAGTTTACATATATTTCACCCCTCAAAAGCGCAGGTGGAATCACGCCAGGTGACAGTGAGGAAACGAGGCTCAAAGCGGGGTGTACCGGGGGTTAGTTTTAGCGCCAGTGCCTCCCCCCCGCCCCATCCTCCCGCCCTTGGTACCCGGACTGGCCCTTGTCCTGCAGGTCAAGGTCAGGACGCGCCCCGGCACCTTCGCCCGCTCCTACCCGCTGAAGCGACAGGGGCACATTCTCAAAGTCCAGATGTAAGAGGTGTCCTACGAAGGGCAGGCGCAGGGGTCCAGGCGGGTAGTTCTTCGGGCGCCGTTTTCTGAGGAAATCAGTAAAGAAAAGAAAGGCTATGGCACCCAGCAGGAGAGTGCGGAGACTGAGCGCGCCCCAGAGGGCCGCCGCCAGGGAGCCCAAGGACCCGAGCATGGCTGTGATATCTGCTCTCTCTTCTGAGTTCGGGTCCAATGACTGTCCCCGCGAGGCTCGGACTCTGGGTTCCCCGCCCCGCCCCTAACCCCTAGCCCCGCCCCTAGCCCTGTCCTGACTCCGCCCGGATCCCAGCCACGCCACGCCCTTCCTGCCTCTCACTGCCTAGCTCCTACTCTGCTGCACCTGGCTTCCAGTGGCCACCTGTTTTGCCTGGCCTGTCCAGGAACTTTCTCCGGGCTCCTGCAGCCCCACCCTCACCCCTGCCAGATCCTCTCCTTCCCTCTGCCCCAACCCAGCCTGCCCGCCATCCACCACATGGCAGGGACCGGATTCTTGGGAGAACACGCAAGGGATTTGGAAAAGGCCAGGCTAGGAGCCTTTTTATTTGCATTTAGAAAGCCTGTCTCTCTGTGAGAACACGGGCCTCTAGGGATTATGGTTTCATTGCATCTCTGAGAGCAATGCAGACCTTTGAGCTCCGTGTTTTTCAATGACCCTCTCACCCAGTGATTGGAACCAAGCCTGGTGAACTTTAATCAGGAAAAGAGCAGCACCTGACATTTCTTAGGCACTTACTATAGACCAGGTATTGTTTCAGCCTCTTTATGTAAATTGCTTAATTCTGACAAAGTTTTGCAGATGCTTTCTTCCTTCCGTCTTTCAGTAGCAGAAACTGACAGAGCATAGGTACCAAATAAGTGGTAAGGAACTGAAGCCACTGATCTGCAACACATCTAAAGGACTCTCTGTATTTGTAACTGTTCTGAAGATTAAGAAGCATTACCTCAAAGCTCCTAGCCCTGAGGCTAGTCCTTAATAGGTGCTTAATGAACTCTGAAGCTGGATGTCTTCGTCCTTCTCCTTTTTGGTTTGCTTAGTGAGTCTTTCTATGAAGCCCCAAGACAGTATAGGACCCCAAATTCCAACCTCCCATGCCTACCTGTGTCTCACCATATGTGAGATGCTCAAAACATGAAACATAGTTCTCGGACAGTATAGCACACACTCAGGTACTCAACATCTATAGACAGGATGCTGAAAATCTTTTTCTTTTAAAGAAATAAAGCAGCATTGCTGTTTCTTTTCTCTTTCCCAATGTTTAGAGGGAGATACTAGTCAGAGCTTAGTTTTCATCCTTCCAGTCCACATTTTCCTGTTTCTCTACAGTTTTTATACATTTATGCAATTTTCCCTAATATTTATATAATTACTATTTGAAAAAGAATTATCCTACAACTGATTTTTTTTCTCAGTATTATGTGTTTGAGATCTATTTGGATTGATACATGTGGCTTTAGTTCATTCACTGTAACAGCTATGATGTATTTTGTCACTACCCCACAATTTTTTTGGCAAGTGTAAAATTGACATATAACTTTATATTAGTCTCAGACATACAACACAATGATTCATCCGAGCAAAGTAATCACAGAAAACATCTAGTTAACAATCAATACTATACATAGTTACAAATATTTTTTCTTGTGATCTATACTTTTAAAATCTACTCTCTTAGCAACTTTCAATTATGCAATAAGCTGTTATTAACTATAGTCTCCATACTGTACATTATATCCCCATTAATTATTTATTTTATAACTGGAAGTTTTCACTTTGACCCCCTTCACCATCTGGCCCAACCTCTACCGTCCGCCTCTGGCAAACACCACCAGTCTGTTCTCTGACTCTACGAGTTCCATTCTGAAATGACATTTTCAACCTTTAAAGCTTATAATGATCAGTGTGACTTTCTTCAGTTGAATAATGTCCTCTTCTTTTCCATTAAGTTAAAATACAAATCAGCACAGGTATTTTGTTCCTAATATTTTAAAATGTAATGTGACTTTAAAAAGTATTTTGTAAAAGGTTGTATGTTTATTGAGCCTATACCACAGGTTCAGGTTACTAACTTTAACTTATGCTCTAATAAAAGTGAACAACACAAAATTAACAACACCCTCACTTATAACCATAATGTGATGAGTACTGGCATTGGTGCTCACTGTCACTTTGTACTTTATACTTTGAACTTTATGTTCTCTACCTCTTACGAACCAATCCTGAAACCTTTGAGTTGCTTCAGAAAAAAAATAAAGGGAAAGAAGAAAGGAGGAAAAAGGAAAAATCTTGATATTTTGTATATAATTTTGTTGATCAAATCACACAATGAAAACATGTAAAGCGACTATGAAGAATATCAGTATCATGGTGAAAAGTTATCAGATTAGTCCCTTCATTGATCCTTATGCCACACAAATTCCTGACTAAATTGTTAATAAGTTATTTGTTAATTGTGATTTCAACAGTCAACTGACTTTTTTCAGCATTGATTGAAAACTTGGGTGAAACCTGTCTATCCAGAGATGTTACACTGTATAAATATTAAGAAATACTTTAGCTAGATTATCTGTCGGTATTAAATTATACATCAGGTATTTGAATTAAATTTGAGATTAAAAGTAAAGCATATTTTCTAAGTAACAATGATTATTTGTTAATTAGAAAATTTCTTATTTTGAAACTGTAAGTTTCTATTAGTTGTCTTACATCTTCCTACACCACATGAATATGTTGTCTGACAATGAAAAGGCATAAATGCTTTCTGAATGCTTTTAAGGATTTATTTTAAAAACCGATGTTCTGTTTTATTCTTACCAAGATATAAGTTGATCCATTATATCTTTTCTGTTTGTCTAGGATTTTTTTTTTCTCATTATCTGGAAGTCGAAGGGATTTTCATAATAACTATAAATAAACTTAATCTAAATGTGTTACCAAATATCCTTGGGTATGCTATTTGTATATCTTTAATGTCCTGAAAATCTGAAGTGTAATCTAAACTGACATGTTTCAGAGTATTCAAGAAGAAAGATAAAACAGTCCTGCTTTTTATACCAGTATTTTATACTTCATAAAGATTTTGGTGAAGAGTCACAGTACATACTATAAGCATTGGCAAAATTCTGAAAATTCCTTTCTATAATATATAAAATCCACAATATTTAAAGAGTCAGTCATGGAGGATCAGTGTTTAGCACTGGATATTTTATGTTCTGTGTTTATATTATAATATTCAGATTGCAAGTACAATTGACCCTTGAATAACAACATAGGTTTGAATAGTTAAGGGTTCACCTACACACAAATTTTTTTTCAATAACAAATACTACTGTGCTACACGGTCTTCCATTGGTTGAATATATGGATGGTTGAATTTATGGATGCAGAATTGTATAACATTTTAATGTTTGTCAAAATGATTTCCTAAAAGGAATCCTAAGTTTCTAAGTTTTGCTAAAGTTAAGGAGAAGTAAAGATTTTCTCTTTTTTTAACATTATTTATTGATTTATAATCATTTTACAATGTTGTGTCAAATTCCAGTGTTCAGCACAATTTTTCAGTCATTCATGGACATATACACACTCATTGTCACATTTTTTTCTCTGTGATTTATCATAACATTTTGTGTATATTTCCCTGTGCTATACAGTGCAATCTTGTTTATCTATTCTACAATTTTGAAATCCCAGTCTATCCCTTCCCACCCTCTGCCCCCTGGTAACCATAAGTCTGTATTCTCTGTCCATGAGTCTATTTCTGTCCTGTATTTATGCTTTGTTTTTGTTTGTTTGTTTGTTTTTGTTTTTGTTTTTTAGATTCCACATATGCAGCACTATTTACAATAGCCAAAACATGGAAACAGCCTAAATGTCCATCAACAGGTGACTGGATAAAGAAGATGTGGTATATTTATACAATGGAATACTACTCAGCCATAAAAACCGACAACATAACACCATTTGCAGCAACATGGATGCTCCTAGAGAATGTCATTCTAAGTGAAGTAAGCCAGAAAAAGAAAGAAAAATATCATATGAAAGATTTTCTCAAAAAAAAAAAAAAAGAGGGAATCTATTGTTACTAGACCTGCCTTACAGAAATGTTAAAAAAAAATTCTTCAGAAAGAAGGAAAAAGATATAGGCCAGGATTCAGATCTACGTGAAGAAAAGAAGAACATTAGATTAAAAAAAAAAAGTAAATTAAATATTTTTTCTTTCTCTTAATTCATCTTACAGATGAAAGTTGGATCAAAAAATAGTAACAATGTCTTCAGAGACTACAGTTTACGAACAAGTGATATGAATGATGTAGTGTTGTAAGGGACAGAAGGAGGGAAGTAGGAAAACTCTGTTATAAGGTACTTGCGCTACTGATGAGGCAGTGTGGAGTTACTTGAAAGTGGATTTGGGTCACTTGAAATGTACACTGTGAACTCTGGGGCAACCACTTGACAAGTTTAGAAAAAGAAATATAGTCAATATGATAAGACAGTGGCATGACAAATATATAAAAATGACAAATATATAAATATTTGATATATAGTATGATATATATATAAATATTTGATATATATTTGATATATATATATTATGATAAGACAAGTGGCATGACAAATATATAAAAATGACAAATATATAAAAAATTCAAAAGGGAAGACAGGAAAAGAGTTAAAAACAAAACAAACAAACAAACAAACAAAAAAGCCCCACAAGGCAAGAGCAGTGAATAACCGTCCCTAGAGACCGTCACTCTAAGTGAAGTAAGCCAGAAAGAGAAAGAAAAATACCATATGAGATCGCTCATATGTGCAATCTAAAAAAGAGAAAAAAGAGGATGCTAATGAACTCGTCTACAAAACAGAAACAGACTTGCAGACATAGTAAATAATATTACGGTTACCAGGGAAAGGGAGTGGGAGGAGATACACCGGGGAGTTTGAGATTTACAAATGTTAGCCACTATATATAAAAATAGATTTAAAAAATTTCTTTGTATAGCACAGAGAACAATGTTCAATATCTTGTAATAATCTTTAATGGAAAAATATATGAAAATGAATATATGTATGTGTATGCATGACTGAGAATTGTGCTGTACACCAGAGATTGACACATTGTGATTGACTTTACTTCATTAAAAAAAAAGAGCAGTGAATAGAAAACAATAATCATATGGTAGCTATTAATCTGTATCAATTACCACTTTAAATGTTA